ATCAAGATATGGTCGCAGCTGGGCAATCCGCCATAGATGAAAATAGGCGGAGCGGACCATGGACGCCACCTGGGTTTCCATGGTAAGTGCCGGGTCCAGATGTATCTCCAAGCTGCAGACCTCACTCTTTGCGGCAAGGGTCGTCCCTCCAAAGGAGAGGGAGTCACCTATACCACTAATGGAAGGGCTGCCCACCCTCAAGAACTCTGTCTTGTCCAGGTTCAGCCTCAACCCATTCGACTGCATCCATTTCAGTACAGTCTCCAAGCAGCGCTGAAGGGACATAACGCATCCACTGAGGTAGGTGAAAAGGAGATGTAGAGCTGTGTGTCATCAGCATACTGATGGCACGATGCCCCACATCTCCTGATGACCCCACCCAGCGGCCTCATGTAGATGTTAAACAGCATTGGAGAGATGATCGACCCCTGCGGAACCCCACAGTTGAGGCTCCACAGGGCCGAGACATTTACCCCAAGCTGTACTCTCTGGGGGCGGTCCTCCAAGAAGGAACGGAGCCAGGCAAGTGCCAGACCACCGATTCCCAACTCGGAGAGCCTCCCCAGGAGGATACCGTGGTCGACAGTATGAAAGGCGGCTGAGATATCGAGGAGGACCAGCAAGGACATATTGCCCCCATCGGCCTCCCTCAACAGGTCATCCAACAGTGCGACCAGTGCCGTCTCTGTACCATAGCACGGCCTTAAGCCCGACTGAAATGGGTCCAGGATGTTGGTTTCGTCCAAAAACACCTGAAGTTGATCAGATACAAGTTTTAACCCAGTACCTAAGTATATTTCTGAAATATGCAACCGCTTATAGGACTGTATGAAATTCCGTGGCATTGTTCCCAAAGCCCTGATGACGATGGAGACCACTGAAGTGTGTTTTATCCAGATGTCTGTATTTTGTTAATTTTTCCAATTCTTTGTTTTCAATTCTGGCATCCCCAGGAATTGCAATGTCAATGATCCAGACATTTCTTTTGGAAAAATAAGACATTTCTTCCTCCTCCTCTTCTTCCTCTTCTGTTATGTTCCACACCAGAGCCCAGGCCTCCCTTGGGACCTGCATCGTAACAGGAAGGTACCACCTCAGTCTTAAACCCACCCACCCCCACTCAGACAGACAGAGGCAGACAGAACAATATATATTATTATTACGTGTTTCTGTCTGTGGTTTTTTAAATGTGTTAGGAGATTGAGGTGGTACTGTTGCTGTTGTTGTTTTGAAAGCCCTATTTATTTTATCATAACCTTCCAGCTAAGATGCAGGTCCCAAGGCAGGCATTTTGTTCAGAAGTTTAGCTTCTGACATCTGGCGGATGCTCAGCTTTCCAGTTGCTTTATCACTGAAAGAGCTTCCCAGTGTGCGTCTTTAATGCAAAAAGCTTTTCAGACCAAGTTGTATCCACAGGACAGTGGATTTCTTTGACAAGGAAGGTAGGCAGCAATTAACAGATTGAGTTTTAGAAAGTGTTACAGGAAGGCTTATACAGCAGCAGAAGTCATCCAGATACCTTCTTTTTAGCTATTCTTTTCTGTTCAATTATTTGGTGGAAGATTATTAATCGAGTTTCATTTTTGTTTGGATGTTTGTTTTTAAAAAAATATTAGTAAAGCCATAAGTATTTTGTCCTTTCTTCAATGGTTTTTCTTTATGCTAGATTTTAATATCTATCCCCATTAAAGCCTTAAATGAAAAATAGCTATATTCCCATGAATATTAATGGATAACATCTCTCCTTGGTTGTGTTTAAATAGAAACATAAAGTTCTGTTTTGTGTTTTAACTTGCCTCTTGCTGACTGTTTCCTATATCATGAAGCTCTGTTATTCAGCCTATAGTCTGTGGGCCAAACCTGCCTTCAATCAGTGTTAGCCTCTGTCCCTTCTTTCTCTGTTATCCTTGTCCTTTTCTTTGGCACTTAAGATAGCTGTTGGCGTGCCACTTTTGGCTGCCATATGGAGTCTAAGGTGGTGAAACTAGCACATGCTGCTTGAAACACAGGAAATGTGTGAATACACCATAGTCCCAGGGCAGCTTCCAATCATGTGTATTAAACTCAGCATTGTAACCATCCGTAGACACTAAAAAAATTTGAGAAAGCAGAGGTGATGATGGTGAGTTTAAACAGAGGCAAACCTGTGAAAAGGGTAGACAGGACAAATAGGGAATTACTTTAAAAAGTAATTTGAGTTTGGAAAGTTACTTTTAAAATAAGCTTGTTACCGACAGTAGCAGGCTGTGGCCAGTAAGTGCTATAGTTACAATTTTTACAAAATTCTTTATTTTCCTATTTTTCCAATATTATTAGTATAACTACTTTTCAGTTAACTTTTTAAAAAATGTGAATGCCTCACAATGCTGGCCTGTGATACAGAACAGGCTCTTCATAATTGCCTCAGTAGATGTAACTGAGTGTGAAGTATTTACTCAAGGCATATTAAGGACAAGCCTGTTCAGTGATGCTTAAACTGCAAAATGAATAAGGCTGTTCCTCCTTATGTTACACTCAAAATGTAGTTGCATTTCTATTTTCAGAAAAGGGAATTATTTACAAGTAGGCACCACAGGAATAACCATATTGGTTTGCTATAGCAAAATAAGTGTCATGTGGGCAGCCTTAAGATTATGAGATTTAATACTATAATAAAAGTTGGTTTTAAAGTTGCCACGTGACTCCTTGTCATTTTGCAGGTATGTGTTTATTTGTAACTACTTATTCCTAATTTCTGAGTGATTCCCCACCCCATATCATAAAATACCCCCAGTCCTCTGCCAAGAAGTTATTTCACAGTACAGCATCTGCTTCTTTTTTCGTCATGTCCTCTCTCCTCTGTTAGAAGCTCTGTTTATAGGCTGTTAATGAACATGTACAGTATCTGGGTATAGTGTACCCAGTGTGGTGTAGTAGAGAGAGTGATAGACTAAGATTCAGGAAGTCTGGGTTCAAAGTCCCCACTCATCCATAGAAACTCACAGGGGGAATGGAAATGATAACACCACTCTTTAAAATACCTCATTTACCTTGAAAGCCCCGTTGGGGCCACTATATGTCAGTTCTGAGTTGACAGCCCATAACATTCAGCTCGTTATGCAGAAGTCCGCAGAGCAGATGACAGAGGGCATCTATGAAGACCATTCTCCTTGTGCGAAGTCCGCAGAGCAGATGACAGAGGGCATTTTATAAAGACTATGCTCCTTGTGTCTGCTGAAAATGATTTTGTTGCTATTTCCTGATTATGTATTATAAATTCATGTCATCCTTGGAATGAGCTTCCTGCCAACATTTTACGGGGAAAGGGAAAGCCATTGGCCCAGTCCACACTCTTTTGCTTTCTCTGCAGCTGCATGGAAAACCTTTTGATGCTAGATGCTTGGAAATAGGAGCATCCTCAAGATTTGAGATATTTGGCATCCTTTCTCCTCTCTGTAGTTAGAGTCGATTTTCTTCCACATGTCATTTCTTGCCTGTGTCATGGTCAGGCCACTAGCTTGTAGATCTGTTGAGCTGTGTCATGGTCAGGCCACTAGCTTGTAGAGTTGAGATGCCCGTAAGAAAGTGCTACAATAACATTCTGTCTCTTTTACAGCTGTGTCCACTGTAATGTGGTATACTCAGATGTGGCAGCACTCAAGTCCCATATTCAAGGTTCTCACTGTGAAGTCTTCTACAAGTGTCCCATTTGTCCGATGGCTTTCAAATCGGCACCTAGCACACATTCTCATGCCTACACACAACACCCTGGAATCAAGATAGGAGAACCGAAGTAAGCAGTACTAATCTTTGTTTCCACTTGTTAATAACACTTACTGATCATAAGACTTGCAGTATTGGGGATTGTCATGCTGAGAAATATTTACTTTTCCTTATGATGGGGGAGGGCATTTCCAGTACCATTAGAAAAGCAGCAAAAGTCAGTGCCAGGGAGCAGTTTGCTTTCCTACAACTGTCATATGGATTATTGCATATTTAGGTGTAAAACTTAGTTGTAGTGTGTAAATGCAGAAAGATATATTTTAAACCAGAACAGAACTTTATTGTTGGAAAGTTGCATAGCTCCTATTACCTGGATGCAAACCTGCTATTAGGCAGAATGAGGCAACTGTCTCAAGCAGCATATGTTTGTGGAGGGTAGTAGTGGTAATAGCTTGGCTTTTTACCAGGTGTTTCCTTCTGTTGGAGGATAGAGCTGCGTTTGTCATGCAAAGTTTGCGGGCCTCTAAACCGCTGTCCCAGGTCAGTGCTAAAGGGATATTCAACTGCCAGTCCAGTCAGCTTCTCTGAGCGGGCAGGATGTTGTTGTTGTTTAGTTGTTAAGTCGTGTCCAACTCTTTGTGACCCCATGGACCAGAGCACGCCAGGCCCTCCTGTCTTCCATTTCCTCCCAGAGTTTGGTCAAATTCATGTTGGTAGCTTCGATGACACTATCCACCCATCTTGTCCTCCGCTGTCTCCTCCTCTTGCCTTCACACTTTCCCAACATCAGGGTCTTTTCCAAGAAGTCTTCTCTTCTCATTAGATGGCCAAAGTATTGGATCCTCAGCTTTAGGCAACCTAAATGCCTCAGAACCTATTCTGTAGTTGGCAATGTGAAATGAATCCTGTGTGTGCAGAGAAAATACTTTCTATGTGAATCATTGAACACCAGCTACATCTCAAAGAAAGATAGGAAGATGTTCCTAAACTTAGATTTTTTTAAGGTCCTGTTACCAAGGGAGAGAACCAGTGAAGCTCCAGATCCTCACGGGGAAACAGTTAGCCCACCTGACTAGGTACTAGCATTCTCAGTTTAAAATACTAGGTGGGGAGCGGACTGCTTTAGGGTGGCATTTACATTCTTGGTATTTAAAGTCCATTAAGTCAGTTAGAGATTCAAGGAAGATATAACAGAGTGAGGGTAACTGGTGAGGAAGAGAGGTCTTTGAGTGAAAAGAGTCACAGAAGCAAAGAATTAATGATTTAAGAAGATGACATCTGTGCTTTGTTCAATTTGGTTTAATAACAATATGACTATAATTACTGTTTCTGCCTCTGTCTTGAAAAGGATTTTTGTCCATTTTTGTGTTAATTTCTCCACCCTTTCTTTTCTTTCGTGTATCTGGATGCCAAAAAGAAAGAATGAATGATTTCTTTTTTTATTCACTTTAGTGTATTAAAGATTATTTATTGGTCACCTATATATCTTGCTTTCCCCCAAGTGACATGTCGGCGCTCTTCCTTCCCACTTTATCCTCACAATAACCTGTGAGGAATGTCAGGCTGAGGGGAACACTCTTGTAGAAGAGTTAACAGAATCATAGTGGTGAAGGATTCCTTGGTTGACACTGAACTCAGATTTCCATTGCCTTCTGGTTTCTCAGAAAATCCTGTAGACCTTCCTAAGAAGAAAACATGGTGGCAGTTAGGAGAAGACATAAACCTTCCCCCAGTACTCCTTTCTTTCTCTTCATTTTACTCTTTATTACATACAGTGGTGCCTCGCTTGACGAGGATAATCCGTTCCAGCAAAATCGCTGTGGAACGAAATCCTCATCAAGCGAAAAAAAACCCCATTGAAATGCATTGAAAACCGGTTCAATGCATTCCAATGGGCTAAATACCTAATCGTCCAGCGAAGATCCTCCATAGGGCGGCCATTTTCCTGTGCCTGTAAAGTGAAAAATGCCTCCTAAAAACAGCGGGGAGCCGTTTTGCACAGCGGGCGGCCATTTTGAAACCCGACAATCAGTTGTTTTCAGATCGTGGGAATGCGAAGAATCGGTTCCTGAAGCAGGGGACCGATGGTCGTAAAGCGATTTTTGGCCATTGAAACATCGTTTTGCGATCACAGAAGCGATTGCAAAAACCTCACCGTCAAGCAGATTCATCGTTTAACGATGTAATCGTTAAGCGAGGCACCACTGTAATTGACAAAGACAACTGTGGAGGGCAAGGGATGGTTTTTTTTTTCCTTTCCAAATTTTGCTCCTTTAAGTAGATTGTTAAGCGAGGCACCACTGTAGTTGACAAAAGACAACTGTGGAGGGCAAGGAATGTTTTTTTTTTTTCCTTTCCAAATTTTGCTACTTTAAGTAATCCAATGTTATGTTTGCCTTTTAAAACTTTGGGATAACCTGTGAAAGCAACTGCCCTGTTTCCAATACTTGGTTTGTAGCTTACATGTTTTTATTCGGTACTTTAGAAGGAAAAAAAATGTTGGCCACTGTGGTGAAACCTGATTTGTGCTTACAGTGGTTATAAATATGGCATTTTCAAAATGTTTTTAAGGTTTTTCCAAAACTTTGGGATGTCCATTAGGATAAATTCTTTGCAGCACTTATGATTTTCCTGCTAATGAGCACTGTGCTCCTGAGTAAAAACTGGAAAAAAAATCAGGGCTATTTTTAGCATACTGGAAAGGTCTCAAATCAAAGCAAACTTTAACCCATGAATTTCCCATAAAGAACTTATTTCCTTATAAGCATTTTATATTATTGAGAATGCTCTTATCTTGTTTCCTCCATGTTTTCTAAATGTATCTTGATAATGTTTTATTGAAAATATTTGGCAGCCTTCTTCAGCCTAGGCTACCACCCTCTAGATAAGTGGACCAGAGCGCCCCTCATTCTCTCCCAGTTTTGTTCGTCATATCTGAAAGGCACTAGCGTAGGGCAGTCTCATAGAGAAGCATCTAGTTTCAGTGCCATCTCCCAAGAAAACAATGAGCTCTGTTGTGGGGAGGAAAAGCTCGGGGTCTTTAAGTATATTTGTCCAGTGACAATTTCGAGGATCTCGAGAGGGATGCCAAAAGGTTTTAGCTAGTGGGCAACTGCAAATACGTACACACACTGGGCAGGTGTCTGTATAGGGCTGGCTTCTCAGTGAGACTAGGATAAAACGTAGAGCTGTGAGAAAGCCTTCTGAGAAATTTTGCTGGGTATATCAGAATTCTTTCAGCTGCCCTTGACATTCTTCACATGCTTTACCAGGAGAAGAAAACTTTCTTCTATTTATTGCTCCAGGCAAAATTTCAGCTCCAAGTCTGCCTTGTTAGCAGCAAAAAATCTCAAGAGTGCTTCCACCTAAAGGTTCCGAAAGCTGTTAAAGTGATGTACAGCTTCCGGATGTTGTGTATGTACTATACATGTATTATACACACAGACTCACACACAGGCATAGAGAGAGACACACAGAGAGACACAGACACACACACTAAAGCAACCCATTAATCAAACCCAGTATTCCTTATAATCATATAAAATTTTAATTTTTTAAATTTCCTTTCATTTTTAGAATTATATACAAGTGTTCTATGTGCGACACGGTGTTTACTCTGCAGCCGTTGCTGTATCGCCACTTTGATCAACACATTGAAAACCAGAAGGTCTCTGTCTTCAAGTGTCCAGACTGCTCACTTTTGTATGCTCAGAAGCAGCTTATGATGGATCATATCAAGGTGTGTGGGATTCTTGTTTTGTTTGGATGTGAGACAGTTGCATGCTACAGTAATAGACCTGTAACTGCATGATGTGGCCGTTCCAAGCAGCTGACCATAGGTTCAGAACCAGGGGGTCTGGGTGAGCATTATTCAGGCTGTATGCAACCCCAAGCCATTCTTATGCTCCCCCTAATCTCCATGTTGAATGGTTTTGTTTTATTGTGAAATTTTAGTTCTGGGCTTTAATTGTCCCATTCCATAAGGAAGTCTTCAGTAACATTATTTACTTATAAGGTTTCCAGCATCCTTGGTTTATAGAAGACTGTTACTTCCTACTGCTTGTTTTCATGTCTAGCAACTGTTTAAGTGTCATAGAACCATAGAGCCATGATGATTCCTTTATGCCTAAAAGGGCCTTAACCATTAAGACAAGAGATAAGTGATAAGAAATAACAAATAGCCTCCAAAGAACATGGAAGGGAGCCAGGAAAAAAGAAATGCACAGACTGAAGATTTTCTCATGCAAGTGAAAGAGTTAAGGTACTAATTGCGTTTTTACAGGAACAAAAAATAAAAGAAGAACAGTAAATAATGTTTAATTGTTAAAGAAGTTAAAATAAGCTAACGTAAGCCATATATAGCTGCCATGAAATTAGGAAAGTGGCTGGAAACAGCTGCTGCTTCTGATTCTCCCAGTGCTAGAAGGGGAACATTAATAACAACCCTAAGTTACATTGAGATAATGGCTGAAGTCCTGTTGTGCAGTTATACTAATAGCACAACTTTTAGACACAAATTTCCATAAATTAAGAACTCTCCATAGGCATTATCTGTTGTGCACATGGCCATACAACTCACTATGCAACAGATAACACCCATGGAGATTGGTGAACTGATTGCGAAAGTCATGCAATTTACAGAACTGCGGAAGATCAGCTATTATAATATGTCTATATTCATTTACCATAACATTATCAACATTCCAGATTATTCATTGAAATCACTATGTATCTGTTCATTTCTTATATATCTGATGATCCTATCGATGTTGATCTGAGTGGCAAATGTATAAATGGTTTCATTGTTGCAATAATTCCAAGCAACATCAGCTGGTTTGATTTCACAAGGTTTATTTATCTGCATCGCTTCTATGTTCCATATGCACAAACTTATTTTAAACAGTAACAAGTCAAAATTTATTTTTTTAAAAAAATATATAGATTAGATGTAGGGAGGACATGGGATTGGACAGGGGTTGTAAATCAACATGAACATTTTACAGTATTCATTCTTCAAGGATACATAAGTTTCTAATGTAACAAATTTATAATACATATTCTATTTCTAAATTGATCTTAGGCTTTCAGTTATCAAATATTAATTTGCATTCTATTCTATTTGACTCACAAAAGTCAAAACTGAAGGCTGTCTTATAGTTGTAAGAAAAACAATAGGCAGAATTACTTAAACTGTATGAAATCTGATCTTAAGTTGTAGACACTTGTTTCCAAAATATAGGAACAAAATACATAATTCAGCCTCTAAGCGAGTTTAAGGGCACACAGAAACATACTAAATAAAGTTCTCAACCAGCCAAGCCATTTAAAGTCTGCGGAGGAAATGCTTTTGTTGGTTTTCTGGTGCTGCTCTGCCCCGTGATATATACAACATGTAGAATGTGTTGTTCTGATGATTATGCCTTCATGATAGTTTGTGTCTTAATCTCCATATTTGTATTAGTTCACATATCTACGAACTATAAACAATTTCTGTTCACTTATACAGGTTTCCCTCATCCAGGAATTACTGGGTGAGCGACAGCAATTAAAATCTCTTTTTTTTTTTGCCCTTTCTTGTTTTTCTGGGTTAGAAACTAAACTTTCATCATTTATTTATATTACATCTATCATTACTACTACAGAAAATTCCTAAAGTAGGGATTTCTGATTCAGGTTTTACGAAACGAGGAAAACCTATAGTTCATATATAAATTTTTCCCCAAAGATGGTGCTGTTGGATTACAAATGCCATTTTCATTTAAACCACACATTACATCATTTGCCTCTTCATTTACAATAATCTCATATCTGTGTTTACAAATTGTAACCAAAACATTCTTTCAGAAGCATTCAGTTGCCTTGACTATTTAAGTTTCATTGATGTTGCTCTGTTGGAGCTGTTTCATTGGTTTGGAAAATAGGGATTGTTCTGAAATCAGTGATGCTGAAACTGTATTTGAGAAGCAGTTTCAATTTAAAAGAGTACTTTTTTCCTCTCCACCACCCGTTGTGGATTTGTTGGTGCCATCTGGTTTTGTAGGGTTATTGCTATTGGTTTTCATACCTCTATTTTTATTTTTGTTCTCTATTTTATGAGTTGTAACCTGCCCAGAGTAGTGCTGTGATACTAATGGGAGTGGGATATAAACTTAATGAATGAATGAATGAATGAATGAATGAATACCGTATTTTTCACTCCATAAGACGCACCTTTCCATAAGACGCACCAATTTTTTAGGAGAAGAAAACAGGAAAATATAATCTGTTTTCTTCGCTCCGTAAGACGCACAGACTTTCCACCCCCTGTTTTGTGGGGAAAAAGTGCGTCTTATGGTGCGAAAAATACGGTAAATAAATATTTTTCTCTCAAAGATACAAGGTTTTTCACCTTGACTCTCCAGTGCTGTTGCTTTCTTCTTTGGCCTCAGACGTAAATTTTTCATCAGCAGAGAAGTGCACTATCAGCTGCAAGCAATCACACAAAGTGCTTGTAAAAGCTCAGCACTTTTCCTGCATAGAAAACTACAGTATGCATATTAGGAAATTGAATGTCTAGTAGTCTAGGCTGGAACTTCTCCATGTGATGTACCAGTTTTCTACATGTAGCATAATAGTGAGAAATGCATATATGTCGCCAATCCTCTGTGAACTGCTATACTCCAAATGTACTATGTGATTTTACTGCATGTGTCCTTTGGCGTGAACTTCTAAGTGACCGTTTAGGTTTTTAGTCTGAAGTTACCCGATTACTGTACATGACAGTTTCTTTAAACAACAGATGCCATGTTGTGTAATGCTTTTCTTTTCTTTTATTAGTCTATGCACGGGACACTGAAAAGTGTTGAAGGACCACCAAACCTGGGTATTAATTTGCCACTAAGCACGAAGCCTACCACTCAGAACTCCATCAGTCATAACAAAGAGGACTCAAAATCTGTAAATGGGACAGAAAAGACAGAGAAGAAGTCTCCTTCTCCCGCAAAGAAAGCAGATTCCAAAAAAGTACCTAATCCTGGCTGGACATGCTGGGAGTGTGATCGATTGTTTACCCAGAGAGATGTTTACATATCCCATATGAGGAAAGAACATGGAAAGGTAAAAAGCAAGTTTGGTTTCCATGTACGCGTATCTCTACAGAATGTGAAGATTAAAGCCAAGCTGACACTCAGGTTTCGCTGAGAATGTTAATACATTGAAATAATGTATTAAAATTTTATCAAGCATCCATCTAATGCCAAAATCGGTTGTTAAATTTACTTGTTACACTAACGTGTATGTTGGCCAAACCTCATTAGACGTGTATTTCTGAAATATTGAAGAAAATGTGAGAACTTACAGTTTAATTTTTTTAAAAAAGTTAGTGCTTATTTATTTTATTTATTT